TCGAACTCACGGACGGCAAGATCGTGACCTGGCTGAAGTCGGACGCTTAACCGACTGCGCCACCCAGGCGCCCCACAAAGAGAATTTTCAATAGGGAACAGATTACATTGATATAGGTGGGCTTGAAAGAACAGAAAGAATACTAAGGTAACTGAGAGGAAATTCCTGCAGGAAGCAGCTACCTCTCCTAAGGCTGCAGGAATGGAGGGGAGAGGTTGGGGTTCGCAGAACCCACAGGCTTGACTGGGGGAGTCCTGTCTTGCTAGGGCTCAGAAATCTGAAGGGAGGGTGTTGCCTGGCTAGTGCCAGCACCTTTTAGGGGATACAGTGAAGCTTTCCTGGGAGTGCGGAAAAACAGCTAAGGGCTGGCACCAACTGTTAGGCTATCGCTGTTAAGGTTATTAAGCAAAGGAAGAAAGAAGTCTCCACTCCTCCTGCCTTCCAATCTTTCCCTAATGCCTCTTATTGTCAAGGCCAGCTCACAAAGGTACTGTGGTTTGCAGAGTCCCAGCCCCAGGATCACAGAGCTGAGTGTAGAAGGCTGTGTTTGGAACTCTAAGACAATAGCTTCGTAACTGGCACAATCCACCGTTTTGGGCACTTGGTCCCCATACACATCAATCCACACGTACTTGAACATCCATATATAACAACAGTAGCTTCCACCTAATAAGATGAAACTACCTTGCAAATGAGGATAATAACCCTCTCCCCCCAAATAGGAAAAGCACAAAGTCCCACCGTCCGATAGATGTCTCCATCTCCAGGAGTTAGTCATTGAATCCATATTTGGATGGTGTTAATTACTCCTCTAATTAAGGCACAAGCCCACCTACAACTAAACAGTGAACTGTAAAGTTAGCAACCACTTACAGTCTTTATATAAAATAATAGGGGAGAAGAAGGAGGGAGGAAAAAATTAAGTACTTAATTAATATACAATGCACACACCAGACACAGAAGAAGATATGCATGCCTGTGAGGGACCTCCTTTGGGTAACTGGTCACAGTGCCATAGTTGATAGATATTTGTTTGTTAATTGAGTAAATGTGTGTGTGTGTGTGTGTGTGTGTGTGTGTGTGTGTATAGTTAATTGAGTAAATAAATATATATATATATACAGAAATAAATTCTGTTTTATATATATATATACACATATATACATATATATATATATATATATATGGCTAATTGGGTAAATATGTGTGTGAGTGTGTATATATTTGCAATTCTCTTATATGTAATTGCCCTTAGCCAGGACATCAGCTAGTTGGGGTTCTTTGTGTGGTGGAGAGACCCAAATAATCATTCCCGAATGGTCTGGATCTTCCATGGGCCTGCGCAGTTTGGGGTGCCAAAGCTCTTTGCTAACTTTTACTATTGTCCGTGGAAGTACCAAGAGGGGCCCTGAAGGATCCCTGGGTTCTAGACGTAGTTCTCATTCTTATTGGCTAGCAATATCCCAATTTCCCTTTGGTGACGAGGACCAGTTAGGCAGGCAGCACAGTAACTCTTTCTTTGCCTGCTGGTGTAGTGGCATGAGAAATCCAAAATGACCAGTTAGAAGTTTCCAAAGCCAATGCAATGAAGACGGTTTCTTCCCTTCCTTTGAGAACTAAGACCTCCAGACTGGTGGAGCCCAACACTGCAGGGACAAGAAGCAAAAGTTTTGTGAGTGGGTGCAGTAGGCTGAATAATCGCCACCCAAAGATAACAGATCCTAATCTCTGGAATCTGTAAATGTTACCTTGTAAGGAAAAGGGATCTTTGCAGATGTGATTAAGTTAATGATCTTGCCTCGGGGGAGATAATCCTGGATTATCCGGTGGGCCCTGAATCCAATTGTAAATGTCCTTTTAAGAGAGAAAGGCAGAGGGAAATCTTACACACACAG